CCCCAAAACCCCAAAACCCCAAAACCCCAAAACCCCAAAACCCCTTTGGGAGGGAAGCCAGTTGAAAAATTTGGGATTTTAGAGATATATGGGTTTTAAGGTGGGCGGGGTTAGATGGTTATATCGTCAAAGTGTCAGGATTCGTCACCGCTATTCTGTTCGAGGAAGTTTTCGGATTTTAGAGGAAGCATTTTGAAATTTTTCATTTCTTTTGATTTTTCGGTCTTTTTCATCAAAGCTGAACTGTTATTTTTCCAAACTTTTAAGTAACTTATTGCTGACCTTGAAGTTTTTAGTGTTGCTGATGATTTCTTGAGCTATAAGAAAGTTTATATAAATAAGGGTATGGTAATCTTACCGGATAATGAAGCATCAAAATTAAAGTTTTCAAGATGACCCTTTCTCTCAAGCAAGTCTAGGATACTGAGAGCCACTTGGAATAGGGCCTTCGTTCCAGTGATAAAGAGAAGGTCAACTGTTCTTATAAAAATAATTCTATATTGTCGTCTCTAGAATAGATAGTCAGGAACCATTTTGGTCAGAGAATATCTAGTCCCAAGGAATTATTTTTGAACCACTGGCTCACTTTAGGCAAGTGTTTTTCGATTATAATGTCTCCAGTAGATATGAAAATAACTTAAGAAGTGGAAAGTTATCTAAAAACAAAATTAGGTGGTGAATTCTCTCAAAAACTTACCAGTATACATTTTGTGTAGCTTATAATCATCCACAAGTGATTTGAACACTCAGTATGATTCTTCTGGAGTAAAGATCTCGAGTAATGCTACTGCAATGTGATTCATGCCTTGTACATAAGAAATACCCTGCTTAGATCTGCACATTGCTTTAACCAACTTGACCGCATCTTTAAATTTCTTTGATTTTGGTACTAGGTCACTTCCATTAACAACAGTCCTTTCTAGATCCCCATAAATAACTTTGAGTTGGTTGCATGGTTTCCTAAGATTTTTCTCGAATTCACCAGTCTTCATTTTCTTATCAAATTTACAGATATATGACCACAATTTCTTTCTGTCATCGGTGCTGATCTCTAGATGAAGGTTTAAAACTAGTTCTCCAATATAATGTTGGCGCAAAACAGGGAATTTCTTCCATTAGCTGGATATGCTGCAGGGAGGTATACCCCAGTCACCTTCCTAAGAAGTACCAATTTTTCTGAATCAAGAAATCTGATAAAATATTCTAGAATGAAAAACTCGATCGATTTTGATAATTGTATCATAACCTTAACATAATGAAACTTTCAGGATGAATCTTGTCTTGAATTGCTTTCTTTGAAACTCAGAAAGAATGGTTTTGGATGATCCAAGATTAAAATAAGATTAAATGCTGTTTATTCACAAAGTCCTGAATCCTTAAATGCTCAAACTTCTTAGAATACTTAAGATCAGTGTTGGAACTGGTAATATAAACGTAAAACAGAAAGCTCTATTTTTAGGTGAACAGATTGTGGATTCTAGTCAACTTGATTTACTTTTAACTGCTATTTTAAGAAAGTTGGAGATCTCTAACAAGATTAATCTGGATTAGGATTGCTATTATACCTTTGAGATCCCAGAAAGACTATTTTAACTAGTAAAAGAACTTATCCACAAGTGAGAACTCATGCTGAATGGTGAACATACTTTCATTTTTCTTGGGTAGAAGAAGTTCTAAGCCTCTTTTTGATTTATTCTTGTCCTCAAGAGTATCCAACTGAGTCTTTGGCTCTAAGAGATTAGATATGAACTCTATTTCTTGTACCTTTAGTTAAATTCACGATTTTGTATCTTCGCTTTTTAAGTGGTTTATTCATACCTAGAGGGAACTATTAAGTGAATCATACTTCTTCCCCTCTTCTTCACTTTAAGTGATAACTTTCGGGGTTTCCTTTCATTATTCTCTTTTTTAAAATTGCTATTAACGATTACTTTTGGAAAATTACTAGAAATTTTGATTAATGAATCAGATCCCGACATTGGAGGAATCTGTAGGCTTCTCTCTCATTGCGCTAAGGCTCCTTCTCATTGGACTTTCAGGAATTTTCCTAAAAGTTTTAAACTCTTCTTTATCCAGATTCCCTAATCAAATTTAATACAGAATTTGGTACCAAAGTGGCTCCTTGTTTGTTCGGTGAACTTTGAGAATACTTTGAACAATGTTTTTGAGTCATTAATTCTGTGCTTCATCGCATGATGTTCAGAATCTTCTATATTAGGTTTATTTTCAAACTGATATTTTGAAAAATTAAGGAGCCTTAAAACTCATGAACCTATGCGGATATATTCAAAATAGAGTACACTAAGTGAAGTTAAGATACCTTCTAAGTTTTCTGAAAAGTCATTGCTTCAGCTCCTGTATTCACGTCCTCCTAAAGTTTTGTCACCAATGGATTCTAGTTATTAATATTCCTGATCTTAATAAGCGCCTTCTAATGATTTCAAAAGACGAGGCCTTCTATTTTTCGCTAAAAATCCCAAAATGCTAATAAAAATCTTGGATTGCCTTTGTAAGTCTCAGGAGGATTATTAAATTTTGCTCACTCTTGAATTTGCCCAATATCTTACCAGAAGCATTGCATCTGATAATTCTTGCCAGAGGAATTACCTTCTCTGATCTCAAAGAGGTAAGTCTAGATCAAACTATGAGGGCAAAGCCAGAATGGAGTCTTACTTCATATTGTTTGAATTTAGAAAATTAATAATAGTTCAACTGGTAATTTAATTGAAGGGGTTTTGGGGTTTTGGGGTTTTGGGGTTTTGGGGTTTTGGGG